AAGTGTGTGTCCTAAAGTCTTATGGTGAAACCTAATACTCAAATGTGACAGTAGTATTGGAGGTAAGAGCTTTGGGAAAATGAGTAGGTTGTGAGGGCCCTTCTACTGCCAATGGAGCAGCACTCTTACAAGGTGGCCACCTAGCATGATGACTTGAATTTGATACCCAGGACCCACCTAGTAGAAAAACCCATGACTGCAAGTTTTCCTTTTATCTCCAAATGCACAAATGCACATTGTGGCACACACACACACACACACACACACACACACACACACACACAGAGAGAGAGAGAGAGAGAGAGAGAGAGAGAGAGAGAGAGAGAGAGAGAGAGAGAGAGAGGCCACTGAAGGAAGCTCTGTTTGCTGTTTTCTGCCTTTTTATCACTTCAGCCAAGTGAGAATACAACACATGCAACACATGTACCCTCTGGAGGATGCAGCAACAAGTACTATCTTGGAAGCAAGGAAGTTTATGAGACACTGGATCTACCGGCATCTTGATCTTAGCTTCAGAACTGTAAGGAATCAATTTCTGTTCTTTATGAATATCCAGGCTCTGATGTTTTGTTATAGTGGCACAAACAGAATAAGACATGGGAAATTCCTTGTTTCATAGGTGCAGAGTTTCCACTTGAAAAAGACAGAGTTCGGGAGCTGAGTAGCTGTGATAGCTGCTCAGAAAGTGAGTGTTCTTAATAAAGCTGAGCTACACAGTTACAGATACTGGCATTATGTGTGTGTCAAATATATGTATCATAATATATGTATACATATATGTGTGTATATATATATATAATATATACTATATATTTATAAATTTACACTATAATTTACAAACTATTAATTATCTTGGCTGCAGAGTGGTTCTTTTGCCTTAGTTTTGTTTTGTTTCTGTACTGGGGTAGAGCAAGGAGAAGAGCCAGACTTTAATAACCAAATATGTAGAATCCAAAGTTAGTGACACCTGGAACTGTCTCTCAGGTTGGCGAGTGGGTTCTTTAAGTAGTGCTTGTCTAAGTCTCCCTTTGAAAGGCTGTTTTCTGCCCTATGAAGAAAAAAAGATCTCCCAAGAAGTCAGACTCCGCCCACCCTGTTGGAGGTTTGGGAGACTGATAATGCTGATTTCGTGTAGCAGCTGGTGTGGTAAGGGGCACATGGAACAACAACAACAACCAAAAAGATTAGAGAACTGCTATGGGAGCCCAGGTGAAACTGGAGACCACACATTTTCTAAACCAAAATCATCTGTCAAAGATTTCTGGGCAGTCTTTGAGTGGAAGAAGTCAACTTTGGAATGCTGGCATTTCTGGGGCATTGTGATGGATAGCCGAGATCGCATATATACAACCTTACACCTGCCTCCCAAATTTGGAACAATGTCATTTAGCTACATGGGCAGATGTTTCCTTTGTCACTAGATGTCAGGTGCTGTCGTTTGTATGTGACCACCCTCCCCCAGCCCCTCACCCAGAGCAACAGAACTGGGAGTGGGAAGTGGGACTTGCTAAGAGGTAACCAGGTTAAAGGGACTCTGCCCTTGTGAATGAATTAATGGCACTGTTGTGGGTTCGGGTTAGTCACTGTGAGAGAGGACTTGATATCCAAGCAAACCTCTCCCCCATTTGCCTTTCAACTTTATTCCCTGGAAGGATGCATCATAAAAGTCCTTTCTCCATACCAGCTACATGCTCTTAGACTTCTCAGCTTTAGGGACTATGAGCCAAATACATCCCCGTCCTTTATAAATTATTCAGGTATTCTGGAGTACCAGCAGCAGCAGCAGCAAACACACTAACACCCTAGAGACTGCACAGGTCAAAAATCAAGTCCCATTTGTCACAGTTGACAAGCCTTAGGGAGCTTGTGACAGCTCAAGTTCTCCACCCTGATTGAAGCACCCAGTGGTTAGATTTCTGTTGCTGTGATAAATACCATAACCTAAAGTTGCTTGGGGAGGAAAGGGTTTATTTCATCTTTAGAGCATAAAATCCATCATGAAGGGAAGTCAGGGAAGTTACTCCAGGCAAGAACTAATGCAGAGGCCATGGAGGAACACCACTTCCTGGCTTACCCCCATGGCTGCTCAGCCTGTTTTCCTCTACAACCCAGAACCACCTGCCCAGAAGTGGCACTGTCCACAGTAGGCTGGGCCTTCCCACATCAATCATTAATTTAAAAAATAAAAAATGTTCCACAGTCTTGCCTACAGGGCAATAGTCTGATGGAGGCAATTCCTCTGTAGGTGTTCCGTCTTCCCAGACAACTCTCACTTTGAAGGGACCAGCTTCCCTTTCGGCAGCCATAACAGCCGAACACGTGCTTGCCATAAACCTGCCTTGGTCACGTAGAGGTCAGATGCCTGTCTCGTGACAAGGAACCCATCAGAAGTTAGTCACTAGAAAGTCAGATGCCTGTCTCGTGACAAGGAACCAATCAGAAGTTAGCTGGTGGCGCTATGCTTTACGACCCTGGGTGTGCTTTATGGACAAGCGCACAGCAATGATGTAGAGAGCATAGCAACCACCCTGGGAGGGCCTATGGGCCATAACAACCAGTTGACCAATCAACACAGGGCAAGCCCTCCAAGCCTGGAGGCACACCAATCATGAGCCTGTGCGTACCCCTAGACACTCCCCTTACGCTGTCCTATAAGATCTCTTGGGAGACCCTAGGAGCCATCTTTTGCTAGCCATCTGTCATCTCGGGTGGGTGAAAGACCCGAGATAACATGGGGTTAGCTCGTTAAATTACAATAAAGCCTCGTGCAGTTTGCAGCAAGCTCTCGAATCCGCCTGGTGATTGGGGTGACCACGAACATGGCCTGGGACCCCGGATACTTGAGTTTTCGGGGGTCTAACAACTTGTGTCAAGTTGACAAAAAAACTAACCAGCACAATTGAGCACCAATCATTTTCTCAAGTTATCTGGACATGTCCACTTCATGATGAGAAAAATGTGTCAGTTATAGTAGCAGTGCTCTATAGAAGTTCTCTCCCTGGCTATACTCTCTGCAACTTGAAGAATTTGAATATGCAAAAGCGTGTGTCAGGTATGGGCTCTCTATCTGATATCCTATTGGCTGATGATGCAAATGCCCTTCTCCTCTGAGCCTTGGCAACACCGTTAAGCAAAGCAAGGACTCTTCAGCATCTTCCCTCTACCCAAGGAGTCGTCCTTGCCTTATACTGAAACTAGAAGCCTGTTTAATAACTGTAGTTGTGCAGAAGGGCAGAGGCAGGCACTAGCTCTCTTAGAGATATTTTTCTGTTGTTGTGGTAAAGTACCACAACCAAGGCAACTTATGGAAGAGAGGGTTTATTTGAGTGCAAGCTTTTAGAGGGATAAGAGTTCATCACTATAGGGATCAGGCCCTCACCTAGCCCTCTTCTTTAGCAGTCATGACAGGCTGCAGAAAAGACTCAGCCTGACCTTGTACCTCCTACCAGTCACTAGGAGGTCAGATACTCTCCACGTGGAAGGAACCAGTCAGAAATTAGCTGGTGGGCTTTGGGCGTGCTTTACAGTAAAAGTGGCTTAATGGTGATGTGCAGAGCATAGCAACCACCTGGGAGGGCCTATAGCCCATAACAACCAGTTGACCAATCAACACAGGACAGGTCGCCCAAGCCCAGAAGTACACCAATTCTGAGTCTGTTGCGTACCCCTAGACACTCCCCACCCCCCCGCCCCTTGCACACCCCAATAAATTCCCAGAGTCATGGGTTTCTCCAGGTCCTTCTCACACCACCTGCTGTGATAAACAGAGGAAGGAACCCAGTTAAAGACAGTTAACTCATTAAACAATAAAAGACTTTGCTTTTGCATAGGAATGGGTCTCTTGGTGATTTGGGGTTCAGAATTTGGGCACAACAGTCACCATTGTGGTGGGGAAGATAGCAGCAGCTGGGAGAAGCAAGCTAAGAGTTCACATCTTTTTCTTTGTTTGTTTGGTTTTTGGGGGGCTTTTTTGTTTGTTTGTCTTTTGTTTTCTGAGACAAGGTTTCTCTGTGTAGCCCTGGCTGTCCTGGAACTAGTTCTGTAAACCAGGCTGGCCTCAAACTCACAGAGATCTTTCTGCCTCTGCTTCTGGAGTGCTGGGATTAAAGGCATGCACCACCACCACCCAGCAAGAGTTCACATCTTAAACTGTAAACAGGAAGCAGAAAGAGTGAACTGGGATTGGTGGGAGTCTTTAAAACCTCAGAGCTCACCCCCAAGTGTCACACTTCTGAGCAAGGCCACAATTCCTAAGCCTCTCCAAACATCATCACCAATTGGGGTCCAAGTATCTAAACACCTGAGGATACAGGGGACATCTCAGCCAAACCGCAACAATTTCTAAATAGTTGCAGTGCCATGCTGTGCTGTGTCATGTAATGTTCAGACAGGACCTTCCTTCCCCGTCTTTACTCAGAGTCTAGCATTTTGCCATTTCATCAGCCCCAAAGGAATTCCCATCTCTTGGCTTTCTGAGCACAATTCCATTACTGGCTTTCGGAATCATAGCTCCCTTTCTCCCTGATTTGTGATCTCATTCACTAGACCACATTCCTGAATGAAAAATGAGGTTCCCTCAGCCTCCATAAAAGTCCCTGTTTAGCCTTGACCCTCACAAGGGCAGGCTCACCCTGCAAGTACAGCTTCCATCACAAGAAACACTGAGCGCTACCCTGAGAACTGCAGGGACCCCCAGCTAACCCAGGCAACAGGGTGGCTCTGCCTAGCTTAGACCCAGCAATAGCATGGCTAGGACCACATCTCAAGAAGGTTCCTATGTCAGCAAGCACACATCACTTAGATTCTGTGCATGATACATTTAAAGCAGTTTCTAGACAGACCAACTGGCTATGAAATTCCATGGGGTGCACCCTTGTACCACAGAAGTAATGCAAAAGATATGGGTGGTCCTGCTTTGTCCTTTATTCCCAAACTGTTTTGCAGACCACTTGAAATGACTAAGACTATAAGTGATACTGCCCTTTCAGGATTCCAGGTACCTGGAGGGATTCTCCCTTTCAGTTTCCTTGAATTCCAAGTCATTGAGCTGTCAACATCCTTTGTGGAAAATGCAGAGAATTCTAGACACTCGGTCCTCTCAGCAAAGGCATGGAATCTGAAACATGAAAGGTGTTCCGTATTAGGCACATACCTATCAATTCTCTCAGTCAATTTGCTGTCTTTGGTGCTCCAAATCTTGATTTTGTTTGTTTGTTTTGTTTTCTCAAGGTTGGGTCTCACTATGTTGCCCCATCAGTCCTGAAATTCTAGGCTCAAGCAATCCTCCTGCCTCTGTCGCCCAAGTAGCTGGGACTACAGGTGTACAAGGCTACACCCAATGCCAAGCCTCTATACCTTAACCATATCCTCTGACTTCCCTATACCTTGTCTTGTCAACTCCCACAGTCCAAGCCCAGGAGAGGAGATGGCTCAGCCCAGTTTGTTGAGCAAGCATGGGGACTTGAGTTTGGATCCCCAGCACCCACATATAAAGCTAGGAGTGGCAGCATATATCAATGATCCCAACACTGATGAGATATGGACAGACAGATTCCTGGAGCTTGCTGGTCAGTCAGCCTAACTCAATCAGTGATCTTCAAGTTCAGTGAGAAGCCCTATCACAGAAAATAAGGTGACAAGTGACTAGGAAAAATGCCCAGCATTGACTCTGGCCCCCATATACAGCTACAGGCACACACACAAGGATGGTTTGGGATTTTAAGTAGTGGTGTGGCTTCTCATTATAGTAGTTAGCTCAACCAAATGGTATTTCTTGGTCCTAGGAAAATGATAGTGTTATTTTGTCTCTAAGTCTCTATCATATTAACACAGTTTTCAGGGCCCAGGCATCAAATGAGGACACTGAATGGCAGCCATTAGCATCGATTGGGGGTACACCCAGCCTTGACTAATTTGCCTATTGCTGAGTGGCTTCAGTCAACTGTAACTCAGCAAACACGTACTGCCCCAGGGTTTGAGCTTAAGAGCTAATGAAAAGAATTCCTGTGTGGGCAAGTTTGGGGGAGCCTGCCAACTCAAAGTGTGGTCCAAGGACCAGCAGCAGTGTCACCTGGGAGCTAGTGAGAGATCTGTGATCCCAGGATCCTGCCTGAACCTGCCGAGTCAGAATCTGACTTTAATAAGATCCCAAGAGGATTCGTGTGCACATGAAAGCTTGCAGCTGCTGGTGTGGTGCAAGGTGATGGGCTCATCTCTTTTCTCTTTCTTTCCCCCGTTTCTGTACTACAATTGGATTATAGGCCCTCACACACGTAAGTCAGGCAACCTGAGCTATATCCTCAGCCCCTAAATTGCACTCCTGAAACTTAACCTCTGATTCACAAAGGAAGTCTCTGGTGATGCTTATCAGCCTCTCCTCACTGCTAATTCAACTCAAGGAATCCTGCTGGACCACTTGGAGTAGACAGATGGACAAATAAAAGTGGGAGTGGTCTCAGGGCCTCCTGGATTGTGGAAAGACTATCATTTTCCTAAAGAGTTTCTGGTGAGACTGGCACAGTGACTTGGTGGCAATGAAAAAGACAGCCTTATTCCTGTGGCCTGGAGGCCGGGGCACACAGCCTTGCTATGCCTACCTCCCCTGGGCACTTTCTAGAGCAGAAATGGCCAGCACCCCTCCTTTGGTGACCACCTGAAAGGGTAAGGTGTGGGGGAGGCATGAGTTCTGTCCTGGCTGACCCTGAGTGCCAAGGTCTTGGGTGTCTAGAACTTTCTACTCTCTGATCTCTTCTCCAAATTAGAAAAGAGAACAGGGCAGAAGTTTCTCTAATGGGGTGAGACACAATTATGAAAGCTCTTTGGAGAGTACTACAGTACCTCAGCACCCACACCGCGGTGGTTCCACACAAACACAACCTTGGCACCTTTGGTTGGGAGAGGCGGGTATCAGAGTCCAGCTAGAGAGCCCATGGCCTAAGCAACCAGCAAGCTATGCCCAGAAAGACATGCTTGTTTCTAGTTGGGTATTCACTGCTCTCTAGCTGGGCCCAGAAGCCCAGAGCACAAAGGAATAGCAGAAGGCATGGTGTGTCTGAGCCAACACTACAACAGGCAGAAGCACTAAGGGTTGTGCACTGGGCTTCCTTGTGAGGGACCAGAGCACACAGAGGATGGCATACCTCTACCTGACCATTGTATGCAAACCCGCCACCCTGAAATGGACGATCTAAAAGTCAGTAAGCAGCTGAATCAGTGCTGCCTGTGGCATGCTGTTCCCTGGGTGCTGAACCTCCTAGAAAAAGTTCCCCAGGAGATGAGAGGCAAGGACAAGCCAGGGAGGGAACCCTGCCACCTGTCTTTGTTTCTACCCCAGAGAGACTGGATGAGGAGCCCCCTTTCATGTATTTGGGGATACTTGGGATCCTGGGTCAAAGCCTTGTGCCTGGTGATTTCAAAGTGTGTGAAGAGTTTCTAGGGCAGTGAGCTCAGATTCTCACAGGTCTTGTTGCACATGAAGAGTCCTGACCCTCTTCAGACATGGAACATCAGGATTCTCGGAGCTGTGGGCAAAGACAGCATTTCCACCAACTCTGTTAGAAAAAATGGTGGGCAAAAATATGCGTTTCCGGCTTGCCTTTGGTGTCAATAAAGGCTAAGTTCAGGCCTCAATATCACTAACAATTCCCTCTTATTTAACATGCAATAACTTGTATGTTAAAAAAATTGGTTAATGTGAACAACTGCAGTGAACTATAGGGTGGGGAGCTACCTCCAGTTGTCCAATGTCTGGCCCTAGGGTAATAACTGCCCTGAGTGTCAAAGCCTGGAACCTCCAGACAGTACTTCTGTCTCTAGGAATTAGCCGACTGAGATGGCAGTCTCTGCAGTCTGAAAGACTCCAAAACATCAAAACAGAAGAACTGGATTATTGTATGATAAAGAAAAGGGTACATAAACCATGGAGACTGTCCATGAGGACATATTGGGTAAGCATCTAGATTGTAAGTGGTCCACCCACTCTTGAGTCCATCTTCTGCCTACCTGCTGTGGGTCTTGGCACTCAGATCCTTTAGGAAAGCTACAGTTTCTTCTCCTCTGGCATTGAAGGACACTGTGCAGACTGGATATGGAATCTGCAAAACCCCCTGAAGAAGAATCTCCTGGGACTCCTTGGGAACATCCCCCACCACAAAGTAGTAAATGGCTTCAATCTGCAAGACAGAGGCACCAATGGCAATGACTTATCGCCCGCCATACAACCCAGCCTTGCACTATTCATCAGCAACACATTTTCTAATTGCTGTAAAATAAAAGAGAGGACAGGAAGAACAGAAGCTATGTTCAGTGTCCTGTGATGTCATTGAGATGCAAGGCCATCAAGCGAGTTATTTAGGGTCTCGTGACAGTGGCTGTGGTCCTTGGGTGCTACACAAAGAAGATAGCTGGCAAATTTGGAGAGCAGCTGCCTCAGGCCCACAGGCACATAGACAGCAGAGGGAAATTCTGGCCCAGCCAGCCACTGAGGGCAGGGAGCATACTATTATCCACCCCCCCAGGTGGTGCCAGAATTCTACAGCACAAATTCATCCACTGTCAGTCTGAGGAAGGATGCAGGAGAGAGGGGGTATCCCCAGTTGGTTCATCCTCTGCTCTCCCCACACTAGGGAAACACACACCTGGGAGACGAGGCCGTCCTGACTCTACACAGCTGGTCAGGAGAAGGATGTGACATCCTCCCTCCCCATCCCTGCTCTGCTCCACACAGCTGTGCCAGAGTAGAATGCTGAATGGACAGTCCATGTCAGAAGCAATACACACCCAAGCATATCCACATACCACACCCACACACACCACACACACCATACCACACCACACACACACACACACACACACACACACACACTGCATACATGGCACACACAGACACACCACACCACATACATACATACACACCACATCCTCTATATACCCCAGACCCCACACACATACCATACAACATACTACACACACAATGCACCACACATACACACATACCACACCACACATACACACCATACCCCCATAGACACATACCACACCATACATTATACATACACAAACCATACTACACATACACACTATAACCATCCACACCATAATACTACACATACACACACACACACACACACACACACACACACACACACAAGCACGCGCGCGCACATACCACCACCAACACACACACTACACATCACATTCAAACACACCACACAAACACACACACACACACACACACACACAAATACACCACATACACCACACAAACACACACCACACATACACATTTTTGTGTTGGTGTACATTAACTATACAAAATCCTGGATACCTCTACCTTCTCTGTTAGCCTCTCTTATCTCCCCTCTTGTTCCTTGTCACCTTCCCGTTGTAGCTTGGATGTGAAATGTCCCCATTGACTCATTTGTTTCAACATGTAGTCCCCAGATGGTCACACAGTTCTCAAAGTTAGAACCATAAGAGGTAGAGCCACGCTGAGGCAAACGTGTCACTGGAAGCAGGCTTTGAGGTTTCATAGTCCAGTTCTGCTTCCTGTCCACTCTGTTTCCTGACTGCTATAGAGCACTTCACACTCCTGCTACCATGTCTTCCCCGCAGTGACAGACGGTATCCCTTTTTAAACTGTGAGCCAAATAAACCCTTCTTTTGTCACAGCAATGAGTACAGTAACAGATACACCTCTTCTATGACCACCACCCTAGTTTGAGCATCTATGAGAGAAAACATGCAAGACTTATCTTAATGAAAATGACTTACTTCCTCGACTACAGTGACACGCTCATATTAACCTAGGGATCTGGGAGATGCACACTTCACCAAAAATGTTGGCATAATCCGGGGATATGCAAAAGCCTGTAGGAGAAACTGCTGCCAGCCTACCCAAGCCGAAATTGCCCTGGCGCCTGCGCTCAGGCCAGCCTGCAGGAGCATGCGCATGCGCGGCAGGCACTTCCTGAGCCAAGCCGCCAAGCCTGCCTCAACGCCCAGAGACTGCTGACAAAGAGACGCCTGACCAGAGACACCAATGAGGAAAGGACAAACAGCGGAGTCAGCAGCCTGAGCCAATAGGGCCTTGGGAGGGGGTATAAAGGCAGGCCTAACTTCCTTAATAAACGAGTCTACGGCATGCTCTGCTACTCACTGACTCCTGGTGCCTGAGTCATTGGTGTTGTGTCTTCTCACCCCCTCCCCTGAGGGGTGTCTGAGCAGGGTCACTGCAACAAAAGCCCACCAAAGGGACTATGAGATGTGTCCTCAGTGACACCACTCTTGCTCTCCTCCTGACGTCAATGCATGAACTCAGGCAAGAGACTGCACAACTCTTCCTGCATGGCTTGGTTTTCTACACTTTGGGAATCTATACTAATGGCAATATGTGTATTTTATAGAAATCTCCGAAAGTACAGATCAAAGCAACACCATCTGAACCTGTCCCTCAAAATCGCCTTAACTGATCACTTCCACAGAGAACTGGGTAGAGGCCTCTGCAAATGTACTGTGTGTGGGTGAAAAACAGGCTTCTTAGGCCCATGACTTATCAATGTTTTCATCTCAAGCCCTTAGAAGCTGAAGCTAGTCAATAAGTGTTTCTCCCCCTTGACTTCGAACCTGGTAGAGAGGGGATAAACTCATGACTGGTTGCCCAGTTGTTTAGGAGCTTATGTCTTTAGCAAAAAGAGCATACTAGGTGTCTGAAGGGGCAAGTAGAACAGGGGTAGCCGAGGACCCAGTTTGGAAGTTAGATAGCCAAAGTGAGAACCCAGATTGGACAATGTCAGCCACTACCTCCACCCACAGGCAGGAAAAGCCCCGCCCCCTCTCATGCCGCTTCCTCTCCAGTCTGTCAACACTAGCTCCCAGATTTTTAAAAGAAGTAACCACTAGGCAGCGAAGCCCGGTGAATGCTGTACATCTCCTCCCACCAGCCACCCAGCTGGCAGGGGAAAAAAACCGAAAAAACTAAGAAACAGCCTTCCATGAAGTGTTAAGTTGACTGGATTGTGTTTTCCAGCAAATGCATCCCAGGTCATTCCTCTTCCTGTGTCACACAGGCTATGTACCAGGAGTACAATCGAGGCACTGTCACTCACAAGCGTTTTCCAGTTAGCTCTGCGCTCAAATCTAATGTAGGAATAATCTCTCATAGGCATCAAAAATGACACATGGCCCCAGACGGGGCAGACGGAGTACCTTCCAGGGTCTGTGAGAGCAAAAAGGAGATAAGGACCTAGAGATGGGGAGGGTTGTACCAGCAGTCTCTGGCAGGATGCTTCACTGCTGCTGGCAATGGCCCAAGAAACGGAAGCTTTCGTGCAGAGATGTTTTTCCCTTGGGATGTCATTGAACTGAAAATCGCCTTTACCGCACTGAGGTGTTCAGCCTCTTTGGAGCAAGCCAAAAGCTCCTGCCATTTATTTCCCATAAAATAGAGTGGTAAGGTCTGGGGAGGTGGTTCAGCGGGTAAAGCACTTGTGGCTCAAGTATGAGGACCTGAATTCGATCCCCAGGACTCTTGCAGAATTCAGGCACAGTGAGTGGTGAGTGTCTATAAGCCCAGTGCTTGGGATACAAACCCGGGGGACCCATGGGGCTCACTGGGCAAGATAGTCAATCACAGAGCCCCAGGTGCAGTCAGAAAGCCTGTCTCAAAAGGTAAGGTGGAGAGCAGTTGAGGAAGATCTCTGACATCTGAAGACCTCGGGCCTTCATAGAAATGTATACAGTTGTGTAACACCTTCACCATGCGCACGTGTGCACGCGTGCACACACACACACACACACACACACACACAATTAGACAATTAGGATGACACCCTTAAGTCCTGTTTCAGTCTGGACCATTACATGGCAACCTGCATTCTGCCCAGACAAAGAGACTTAGGCATCTTCCTGGCATTGGCTTTGGAAGCAAGAAAAGAAACTGATGGAGCAAGTGCTTCTACCCAGCTACCCTCTCTGACACCAGTCCAAGCCAGCTCTCATCCCAGAGCCTCCAGCATAAAATCTTCCCTCTTCAAGAAGCGAAATGGAGAGCAGCCCAAAGCACAGCAACGAGGCTGGCAAAGACTCTGCCTCTCTCTTCATACAGCAAAACACTGCAGCATTTTAAACCAACTCCATACCTGGGGCTCTAACTCCTGGTCTTCCCCATCTCTCTGACAGCCTTCCCATCTTTGGGCCATTTTGATTTTCTGGTTCCCTTCATGGTGATGACTCCTCCTTATGATCAGTGTTGGCATCAGTTCTAGTTGGCTTCTTAGATCCCTCCTAATACCCTGGACCATCACAGACTATCTGCCCTTCCAGGCTTTAAGGTCTATATTCCACCCATTATCCCCACGAGAGTTCTATAAGGCTTAGCAAACTCACCGCCTAGCCCAACACCATCCTTATCTCTTCGGTTGAAAAAACAAACAAAACTCAATTCACGTGTCCAGGACCTGAACCCACTGGGCCTACACTTAGCCCCCAAACTCAACCATATTGACAGTGTTTCCTTCCTTTCCATTCCTTCACTATCCATTAGATATTTCAAGAGCCCTGATTTAGGCAGGGACACAATGGAAAAGTTTTACAACTGTCTAAACTCTTCCAAGGAAGCAAATGAGATGTCAGTTTTACAGACTGACAGTCTGGCAATCAGCAGGGCAGGCCGCTCACGGGATTGGGGGATTCTGTCTTTAATTCACTCACTTAGTCTTCCTGTGAATATGATTTTTAAAACCCTAAATCTAAACGTGTACCTACCGGGGACATGAAGGAAAGAGTGAGATAAAAACAGAAAGCCAGGCATCCTGCAGGGCAGGTAGCCTTCTGAAAGCATGAATGAAACTTCTCAGATAGCTTTCATGGATGACCAAAGACCAGGACTCTACTAAATATCCCTTTCTTTCCCAAAGACCCTTCAAGCTTTGTGTCTGCAGGTTTCCAGGGCCTGATGGTACCGTGGAAACCCTGTGCTGGCTAGCACAGCTGGACTCTGAGGACCCTAGTCCTCACCTGCCAAGCACTTCCTCAGTAGCTCACAGGCTGCCTTTCCCACGAGCCAGGTCCTTTGCACAGGATACAGTGATGGCTCAGACTACAATTGTCAGTATTGAAGACATGACTTAAAAAGACCCCTCCCACTCTACTGGGCTCCTCTTAGACCCCAAGACCCATGCTCACTTCCCCCTTCTTGTTCCTTCTTCAAGGTGACTAAGGCCAGCACTGAACGAGCCCGATGGCCTCCTCCACAGATGGGCTTCACATAATATAGGCTTCCGTGTTAATTTCTGGGTATTAATGTCTATGACTTTCAGGGCCCATGGATGAAACAAGACAACCCAAAGCAGGTTGCCATCAGTAGGAAAAGTCGAGGTGGATATAGTCACTATTCCAAAAGTAGCTTGACATTTAAGTCTTTTCTATTCCTAGCAGATTACATGGATAAACTAAAATTCTATGGGATGGTCACTAGGGGCATGGAGCAGAGGAATGGACCTTTAGGGAAACCAGTCTACCCCACCATACACATACATACTGTTTTTCACTCTTCTGAGACACAAAGCATGGAATTTTCTAATACACAAGACAGCTGTGTTCACTGGGATTTCCTTCAGATCACCCACAGATAGGGCTATTGGTGAAGGACTTCTGTGGTCTGTATACACTTTGAATTTGCTCTAGACCACAGATTGAATGTGATGGCCAGTACCTTTCTTGGTTCTTCTAAAGGATCCCTCTAGCACTCACTAGGTTGTTCATATTTTCTAAAGTAGGGATGAACCCAGGGGAGATAAAGGAGGAAAGCAAGGTCATCTGGAGACTGGAGTCATATCAGATGGCCAGAGTCAGCAGGGATCAGTACAGTCAAGTCCACAAAGAAAGAGCATGTTCATGTGCGCACACACACGTAAACACACACACACACACACACACACACACACACACACACACACATACACACACACACACACATACAAATGCATGCATGCACCCATGCATATCCAAAGCCTGGGAAACATTCCATTTTGATGCTGACACTTGGAATTTTGCAGATGTCAAAAAAGACTTGAAGAAGCCAAAGAACACAATAATTTGTATCTGGTTCTTCTTTAATGGAAAGCATGTGTTCAGCTGGCTTTATGAGGGCAGAAAAATGTGTTCCCAATTTCAAACCGTCACCTAAGAATCGATAAACATGGGGCTGTGCCAGCATGCATGCATTTATTTATTTGGAAAGAGAGGAGGACTCCTGGATGCAGCTACATAAAGACTGAAACCTACAGAGACTCCCATCTTCCAGAATAGAGGAACCTATTAGAGTATTTACCATCTATATCTCAAAGGCAAGCAGACCTCCATCTCCCACTCTGGAGAAGTTGAAGCTGGCTAAGGAATCCCTCCCACCCAGAGAAATCCCTTGCCTTTGTAACACTCTCTTAAAAGGTCCCATCACCAGAGTCTCTCAAAGAAACATGCCTAGTGGCAGGAGAAGACACCAGGCACTACCTCTTACTCACTTGTGTCAGGTGAAGTTTTATTATCAAAGGTGCCAATCAAAAACCATGTGTCAGTGCATCAGAATGCATGATAGGTTCTGTCTTAGTTTTATTTCTGTTGCTGTGATACATATCTTGACAAAGAACAACTTCCATGAGAAATTCATTTATCTGAGCTCACAGTTCCTTGTTTCAGTCCATCACTGCAAGGAAGTCACAGCAATGACAGAGCCTGAAGTAGCTGGTCATATGATATCCACAGTAAGAGCAGAGGCAAATAAATGCATGCATGCTCCCTTACTTGTGCTCAGCTCGATTTCTCCACTCTTACGTAGTTCAGGCCTCTTATGTTTCCATAAGAAGCATCTAGAGTGAGGCATTGGCACTGTCCACAGTGGGCTAGATCTTCCCATATCAACTAAGACAATCCCACACAGACATGCCCACAAGCCCAACCCAGGGTAGACACAATTCCTCATGGAGACTCTCTTCTCAGGTGGTTCTGTGTTGTGTCAAGTTGACAATTACAACCAACCATCATACAAGGCTCATCAGCTTAGATACACATAATAGATCCATCCATGAAGAGAAGGAACTGGGAAAGATTCAGAACCTGGATGCTGAGGAAAGCCTATTTCCTTGTTCTCAGGATTCTTTGAGGAGTCTCCCAATCTCTCTCCGTGCCCTGTAAGATAGGGACTTATTTCTCTAGTCAGCAGGAGGGCAACAATAGAACTAACATGTTAGAGACACATGGTCTGGCCACACCCCTGTGTGTTTCCTTCAAACTAGCTACATAAAGTTCTGTCCTGAGGCCATAATGACCCCACAGAGAAGCTTGGGTAAACTTACTGGGCAAGAATATATCACTTTGATCTCTATCTGAAACCCTGTTTCTTCAACTGGCTGTGGGTTTGGGGATAAACAGGATTATGCTTTGGGGACCATGCTGGTTAGTTTTGTCAGCTTGTCACCATCTGGAATCAGCTGAAGAACTGCTCTGTGAAGGATTACCCAGATCTGGTTGGCCTGTGGGCATGTCTGTGGTAGATTGCTTTCATTGCGTTAATTCATATAGGAAGATCCAGCTAAATGTAAGCGGCATCATTCCCCAGGTTTGGGTCCTGGACTGTATAAAAGAGATGAGCTGAGAATCATTGTGGCGGCTTCTTCTTCTTCTTCTTCTTCTTCTTCTTCTTCTTCTTCTTCTTCTTCTTCTTCTTCTTCATCCTCCTCTTCCTCCTCCTCCTCCTTCTCCATCCCTCCCTTCCTCCCTCTCTCTGTCTCTCTCTGTTGTCTCTGTCTCTCTCTGTCTCTCTCTCTCTCCCTTTGACTTTGGGTACAACATAACCAACACCTTCAAGCTCCTGCTACTGTGACATTCTCCTACCATGAAGACTGTAATTTGGAACCATGAGCAAAAATAAACCATTTCTCCCAAAAATTGCTTTTGGTTAGGGTACATTACCATAACAACTGTACAGGAAACTAAGGCAGGTACTATTGGTGATAATGCTAGGGTTCCCATAAGAAGCATCTAGAGTGAGGCCCAGATCAGCAGTGTGAAGACACCAAGTGTTTCCAGTTAAGCTTAAAGCCACCTTGGTGACCTGGGCAGGCCATGGGTACACACTTACAGTTTCGTCTTTTCCAGCTTCCAGCAGAGCATCCAGGCAGCTAATCTCTCTCACAATTGGCTCAAAAACCATTTTCTTGACCCAGCTGATGGCAGCAGCAATGGAGTCTTCAGTCACAGAGGTAGCACACTCCTGCCATTTCACTGGCTCTTCAGAAACACTAAAAAGAATCATATGTAGCAGTCACCAGACCGTGATTAAGCCTACCACAAAAGTATCAGCCTTTGGTGTCAACCAGAAGTTACCTCAGTGAGAAAGAAAACTAAACTACCAGACCCTGAAAGTTACTGTGAAAATGCATGAGCCAGTTCAGACACACCTATGTTGTTCAGGAAAGTGTGTTGAGTGTAATGGGTGATTTCAAAGCGTTATGACCTCGCACAGGCATAGTGACCAGGAGGCATGACTGGAGTGTCGTGGGAACAAACAAAAAGGTACAAATGTTAACCAGAGCTTTATAAATATTAAGAGAGGGGCTGAGAAGATGGCCACTATGTAAGCATGAGAACCAAAGTGTGGTTCTTTAGCACCCACATAAAAAGGCAGTATATCATCATACACTACAATCCCAAAAGCAGGGAGGCGGAGATCCCTGGAGGATCCCTGGGGCCTGCTGGCCATCCAGTCTAGCTAATTGGAGAGCTCCAGGTTCCATGGAAGACTGTCTCAAAGGGGTGGGGGAATAAAACGAAGAGTTGTTGTGGAATATAGCTGAAGACATGTTACATTCATTTATGCTGAGGAATATTTGTTTGATGCTATGATGTGTTACTTTTTTTTAATGTTGAATTTGTTTAACTCTGTGTAGCTGTGTTACTTTGCCTGCCCAAAATGCCTGATTGGTCTAATAAAAAGCTGAATGGCCAATAGCTAGGCAGGAGAGGGTAGGTGAGGCTGGCAGGCAAAGGGAATAAATAGAAAGAAAGAGAGAGCAAGTAAAGGAGGAGAGGAGGATGCAAGGGGCCAGCCACACAGCCACACAGCCAGACAAGGAATGAGAAGGAAAGAAAAGATACACAGAAAGAGAGAAAAGTAAAATCCCAGAGGCAAAAGGTAGACATGATAATTTAAGTTAAGAAAAACCCGTCTAGAAATAAGGCAAGCTAAGGCTGGGTATGTATAAGAAAGAATAAGCCTCCATGTATTTATTTGGGGGCTGAGTGGCAGGTGCCCACAAAAAAGCAAAGATCAAATAAAACAACAAAGAGTGATTGAAAAAGACACCTCTAGCCCCCACGTAGCTGCATACACATGCATCCACACAGAATCATGTACACATTCACACACAAATTCTAGGAGAAATTATTTTCATAAACAGGCAGGACGTGTGAAACTATCTTCTATCAACAGCAAATTCATAACAACTTACAATATTACAGTTTACGGGTTGATGGCAACTTAATGTTTTAAAATTTATTCCCAGTGACACTGTTGTCATTGTCCTGGCAGAGTACCACCGGCTGTTCTTTCTGGATCAATAAAGTACTGCTTTCAGCTCAACAGAACATATATTTGAAAATCCCGAGAACATGTGTTTTAACCATTTATTTAGGGTTTAGAAATGACTGGAGAAATGACCCTCACCTCAAAGAGAGGAACCATTTGGATGTATCCATGTTTATAATGTCAAGTGAATTGGCTTGGCTCTTGCTAATGGCCTGTCATCACAGGGAGTACAGCCTCATACCTGTGTCCCCTTGGTGGGACTTCTCTGGGTTGAGAGATCTGACTAAGAGGCACGTTTGCTATGGAAAACAGTCTGAGAAAGTGAAGACTTTGTGCACATCAACACTCAAGTCCTTCAATAACATACATACCTGTGTGAAAAGTCAAGATTTGAACCAGAACCACCCACAAAGGTGTCCTCTATTTAGATAAAAGTGCATTACTCAATAGAGAAAAAAAAGCAAATAGGCACATTTCCCTCCACCCACTTATCCAGATGTTTCTTGTCAAGGAGGTGCAACCACTGACTTGGCTGAGAAGTTAGCACTGAGGCCCACATTCCTGTGGCTCCAAGAATCCATAAAAAATCAATCAAGAAAACTCTAAAATAAGTGAAATTCTAGAAAGGCAAGCACCTGCTGTTCTGATTAAAGGGGGTCTAAACTCATAAGAGAGGTCAATGTGTGCCACAGTTTCAGTCTGGGAAAAGAGAGCAAAAGCTGTGGCTTTTAATCGTGTTACCCAATCTAAAATGAGACTCACACCTTCAATACATACACGCATATAAAAATATATCATATGACTATGTAATTCATAGTCTCATATTTTGACCTGCTGGTGGATTGAAGAAAAGCAAGTTTCTAAATCTCTCTTAACATGAAACCTAAGGTGCCCTAAGAAAAGCAGATAAAAGTTCCCTAAGATTTATTATTCATCATGGGTTTTCTGCTGAAATTGTATATTCTACGGAATTATGATAATCCTTTTCCCTTGCCATCAGGCTAACTGTGTTAGCTCTGCTGCTTAACTCTGAATGTGTGCGAGTCGGTATGAAGTTTCAGTGAGACAAATGTCTGCACTGGGAACTTACCATATGATGTTGAACCTGGTGATGAGAGCCACTTGCTCCTGGAGGACCATTGTCAGAGCATCCTGGCACAGATTAAGCTCCTCCATCAGAATGTCACTGAAATCCAGTACTACGGTGATGCTCTGTTCCAAGATGACACCAAAAATCTGCCGGCTCCTGCTGGTAAGCCAGTCCATCCTCTGCTTATAACTCTCCACAGCATGTGTTAAACAATTCACAAACCGGTAGATCAGCTCTGACTTTGCTGTCAGCTGAATAGAAGTAAGATGAAAAAAATTTTTTTAAAAAAATGAGACAGTAGCAAAATAAGCAGTTAGAACCGCAGTCACAGTAGTGCAGTGGCAGCCATGCAACTAGTAAGATTCTATAGGTGGCCTTCAAACCCCACAGGACCCAGGAAGGAGATTCTAACCTCTCAGAAAGATAATGTGATCTCTTCAAACTATAATGCAAAAAAAGGCTTCCAAAGGTTTTAGACAGGTTTGGGTTTTGTTTTTTTTGTGTGTGTGTGTGTGTGTGTTTTTTTAAGTCTCACTAAGAAGGTTTCCTGTGTAAGACACTGCAAAATATTTCTGCAAACATCTCCAATTCCTTGTAAGAACTGGGGCTCAATTACTCCACCCAATCGTAACTTTTTTCGCTCTTCCCTCTCTCTCCTACACCAGCCTCGCCTGTACCTGAGTCACCCAGCTACTCACAGCTACTACTGATACCTTCGGGATGCTCCCAAAGGTGACAGAGACTAGCAGGCAACTTTTCTCATATGTATGCATCCTTCAAGCAGACCAGGTCTGCAGACCCGGCACAATCTGCAAGGCCCTTTAGAACGCAAAGAGGTAGACAACAGAAAAGGAGAACGGAAAAGTTGTGGCCTTTACTATGAGAAACCAACGTTTAAAAGATATGGCAAAGTCCTTTTCGTACCCCATCTACATCTCTCTCTCCGTCTCCCTTGCGCTGGCTCCTCAAGAACCAGCACCATTTCTCTGCAGCATCCAAGTGCTGGGGACTTTGCGCACGTTCATTAAGTGCTCGTCCACTGAGCCACACCCCCGACCCCCTTCTACAGCTCATTTCCTGTTTTAAGACCTCACCAGCTTCCAGGACCTGCATTATGAGACCGCATTGTGCAGCTACTTCCTCCACTGTGGAGGAGGGAGAGGACTTGATAATTGAGCAGCAGGGATGCAGCTTTGCTCATCACCCGCGCTTCTTGGTATAGTGGGCTTTTTTCCCATGATGCAGTTGCCAATGAGTCCCTCATGTTCCTTCAAGTAACCCCTATAAACTCCCCAGTTCACTAAACCAGACTTGGACGGAACCCTTCCTTTGGTCTATCATCAATGTCATCCCCTAAGTAAAGTCACAGTGCAGAAAGATCTCAGGGCATGTGGTGGTGGATTTATGTGGACAAAGACATCTATCTGTTCTACTGCTCTGCGGCGGTTTTAATGTGGGCCAGTTAAAAATGGCTCTAGTGAACCAAACACAGAAGAGCAATTTAAAAATATTAAATACAGTCAGCTCTCCCTATCCACAGGGTCAATATTCTCAGATTCAACCAACCTAGGGTGGAAAATATTTTTAAAATGAACTGCATGGATGCTATGAACAGGTTTTTTATTGTTATTATACCCTAAACAATATGATGCAAAGCATATTCCCACAGCATTTATATTGTGTTGGGTATTATAAGTCATCAAAAGATAACTTAAGGTATAAAAGAGAATTGAATAGGTTTTAAGCAAATACCATGTTCTGCCATAACTAAATTTAGCACGCTGGATTCAGTTGTGATTGTGATGAATCACAATTGGTTGAGGATTGTAATGAATATTAGTTATCTACTTTGACTACATCTGGAATCAGCAGGAGCCCAAGCAGTTTGGCACTCCTGTGATGAATTTTCTTGATTGGACCATTTAAGATGGAAGACCTGTCCTAAATCTGGGCCACACCTTCTGGGAGCAGTCCACAATAGAGGACAGGATGAGAAAAACCTTTTCAGCTTTCTTTCTGCCTGTTGGCCCCCTCTCTCTCACTGGCAAGTTCATTTATCCTGTTGCCGCGGCACACCTTTACTGGTGGTAGGGTCCACTTCTTCAGGATTCCAGTGTAGACTAAAGACCAGCAGCTCCTAGGAATACTCAAGGACTCCAGCACCTAACAGGGACTGCTTAGACATCTAGTCTCATGGACCAAACAACTACAAATTCTTGGCCTTTCCCTCTTGAGGTAGTCATTGTTGGATGAGCTGGACCACATGGTCTGTGAGCCACTGTAATAAGTCCCACATATATATATATATATATATATATATATATATATATTTTCTTTCTATGTATCCTATTCCATTAGACAACCTTGGCTAACCCAGGAGTTCTGGGAGGGCCTCCGTGGACTCCAAGGGATGACTGTATTAGGAAACAACGGTCCTGGTGGCACACGGATGTTCTTTGACATACGTGGACAGGATGAAGCATGTGTCTCCAAAAAAGACCATGAACTCCAGTTATGGGTCCTAGTATGATATGTGTGAACTCTCACAGTTTAGGGCCCCACTTGCCAGTACTGTCCCTAGTCCTGCATTGGGTTAGGTTCAGAGAACTCTGTCATATTGTTTTACTCTTTTTCAAGGTAAGACAAAGTGCTAGTGTGTAATCAAGAGTTCATTATGAAGTATCTGATCAAAAGCTTCTTTCTCTCATCTCTTTCAGGCTAACCACAACTTCATCTTTCTACCACTGCAAAGAAAACCTGAAGCCGAATCTCCATAACCCCAGGATCTTTTTGTTTGTTTCTTTCGTTTTTCCTGTATGTAGTCTTGGCTATCTTGGGACTTGCTCTGTAGACCATACTGGCCTTGAACTCAGAGATCCACCTGCCTCTACCTCCTGAGTGCTGGCCAGATTAAAGACATGTGCCACCACTGCCTGACTGCCCCCCCCCATCTCCTCCGCGGGATCTTAATGTGACTACAGTCTCTTTCCATGAGACCTGACCACTGAGGGAGCACTGACTTACGTTGTAAAGCCGCCCATCTTCTGCTGTGTAGAACTGTGGGAACAAGCCGTCAGCATACCGAGAAGCCACGAGTCTCCTCAAAGAAGTCACATAATCTGTATTTTTATAAAGACAATCAAGATGATATATCAGTAAAGCTTCTTGCGCTTATTTTCAAACATTTTCCCAATAATCTTTAATTTTGTATTGTGCCCCAAGTCATAAAGTCTGAGAACTACGACAAACCTCAACAGGTACAAAAAAATTGGAGTAACCCCCTGTGTCTTATCAGACCACCATGCTTTAAAGTTAGAATTCAAGAACACAAGTTGCAGAAAACCTACCAACTCAAGGAAATTGAACAACACGCAATTGCACCATTCCTGGGTCAAGGAAGAAATAAAGAAAGAAATTAAAGACTTCCTACAATTCAATGAAAATGAAGACACAACATACCCAAACTTATGGGACACTTTGAAAGCAGTATTAAGAAGAAAGTTCATAGCTCTAAGTGCTCACATGAAGAAACTAGAGAATAGCCACACCAGAAAATTGACATCACAACTGAAAGCTCTAGAACAAATGGAAGCAAATTCACCCCAGAGGAGTAGACACCAAGGAAATAATCAAACTGAGGGCAGAAATCAATAAAGTCGAAACAAAGAAAACAACCAAAGAATCAATATAACAAAGAGTTGGTTCTTCGAGAAAATCAACAAGATAGACAAACCTTTATCCAAACTCACCAAAAGGCAGAGAGAGAACATGCAAATTAACAAAATCAGAAATGAAAAGGGGGACATAACAATGGACACCAAGGAAATCCAGAGAATCATCAGGTCATACTTTGAAAACAACCTGTACTCCACAAAATTTGAAAATTTAAAGGAAATGGACAATTTTCTGGACAGACATCACTTACCAAAATTGAATCAAGAACAGATAAGCAACTTAAACAGACCTATAACCCCTAAGGAAATAGAAGCTGCCATCAAAAGTCTCCCAACCAAAAAAATCCCAGGGCCAGATAGCTTCAGTGCAGAATTCTATCAGAAATTCAAAGAAGAGCTAAAACTAATACTCCTCAAATTGTTCCACACAATAGAAGCAGAAGGTTCATTGCCAAACTCTTTTTACGAGGCTACAATTACCTTGGTACCCAAGCCACACAAATACACAACTAAGAAAGAGAACTACAGACCAATATCCCTCATGAACATTGATGCAAAAATACTCAATAAAATACTGGCAAAATGAATCCAAGAACACATCAGAGAAATCATCCACCATGATCAATTAGGCTTCATCCCCAGGATGCAGGGTTGGTTCAACATACAAAAATCTATCAATGTAATCCACCATATAAATAAACTGAAAAAGAAAAACCACATGATCATCTCACTAGAATCTGAAAAAGCCTTTGACAAAATCCAACACCCCTTCATGATAAAGGTCCTGGAGAGATCAGGGGTAATAGGAACATACCTGAACATAATAAAAATAATATACAGTAAACCAACAGCCAACATCAAACTAAATGGAGAGAAACTCAACATGATTCCTCTAAAATCAGGAACAAGACAAGGCTGTCCACTCTCTCCATATCTCTTCAATATTGTACTTGAAGTTCTAGCTACAGCAGTAAGACAACAAAAGGAGATCAAGGGATACATATTGGAAAGGAAGAAGTTGGAAAGAAAAACTTCCCAACATACATATTGAAAAAACTTTCACTGTTTGCAGATGATATGACAGTTTACATAAGTGAGTCAAAAAACTCTATCAGGGAGCTCCTACAGCTGATAAACACCTTCATCAAAGTGGCAGGATACAAGATTAACTAAAAAAAATCAGTAGCCCTACTATATACAGATGACAAATGCACGGAGAAAGAAATCAGAGAAACATCACCCTTTACTATAGCCACAAACAACATAAAATATCTTGGGGGTAACACTAACCAAACAAGTGAAAGACCTGCATAGCAAGAACTTTGAGTCTTTAAAGAAAGAAATTAAAGAAGATACCAAAAAATGGAAAGTTCTTCCATTCTCTTGGATAGGTAGTATCAACATAGTAAAAATGGCAATCTTGCCAAAAGCAATCTACAGATTCAATGCAATCTCCATCAAAATACTGGCACAATTTTTCACAGACATTGAAAGAACAATATTCAACTTTATATGGAGAAACAAAAGACCCAGGATAGCCCAAACAACCCTGTACAATAAAGGAACAGCCAGAGGCATCACCATCCCTGATTTCAAGCTCTATTATAGAGCTATAGTCCTGAAAACAGCTTGGTATTAGCACAAAAATAGACATGTAGACTAATGGAATCGAATTGAAAAACCTGATATTAACCCACTCACCTACAAACACCTGGTTTTTGACAAAGAAGCTAAAGATATACAATGGAATAAAGAATGCATCTTCAACAAATGGTGCTGGCATAACTGGATGCTGGCATGTAGAAGACTGCAGATAGATCCATGTCTATCACCATGCACAAAACTTAAGTCCAAAGGGATCAATGACCAGAAAGTAAAGCCGGCCACACTGAACCTCTTAGAAGAGAAATTGGGAAGTACCCTTGAATGAATTGGTACAGGAGTCAGCTTCCTGGACATTACACCTGTAGCACAGACACTGAGCTTGACAATTAATAAATGGGACCTCCTGAAACTGAGTAACTTCAGGAAGGCAAAGGACATAGTTAGCAAGACAAAATGATATCCCACAGACTGGGAAAAGATATTCACCAACTCCATATCTGACAGAGAGCTGATCTCCAAAATTTACAAAGAACTCAAGAAGGCAGTCTCCAAAACACCAAATAATCCAATTAAAAAGGGGAAAAGTGGAGTGCATAACTAAATAGAGAATTCTCAATAGAGGAATCTAAAATGGCTGAAAGACACATACGAAAGTGCTCAACATCCTTAGCCATCACGGAAATGCAAATCAAAACAAGACTGAGATACCATCTCACTCCTATAGAATGGCTAAAATCAAAAACACCAATGACAGTTTATGCTGGAGAGGATGTGGAGAAAAGGGAACACTCCTCCACTGCTGGTGGGAGTGCCAACTTGTAGAGCCACTTTGGACATCAGTATGTTGATTCCTCAGGAAAATGGGCATCAGTCTACCACAAGATCCAGCAATTCCACTCTTAGGCATATACCCAAAAGAAGCACTTTCATACAAAAAGGACATCTGTTCAAGATGTTCATAGCAATAATAGCCATGATGTAATAGCCAGAACCTAGAATCAATCTCGATGACCCTCAACTGATACATTTACACAATGGGGTAAAAATAAAAACAAAACAAAAACGAAAACAAAAAACAACAACAATGGAATCTTGAAATTCTTAGGCAAATGGATGGAACTAGAAGAAACCATTCTGAGCAAAAAGACAAACATTGTATGTACTCACTTATATATGGATTTTACACATAGAGCAAAGGATTACCAGCCTACAATTTACACCGCCAGAGAAGCTAGGAAGCAAGGAGGACTCTAAGAGAGACATGCATGGTCCCCTGGAGAAGGGGAAAGGGCCAAGATCTCCTGAGCAAATTGGAAGCATGGGGGTAGGGGAGAGGGAGCTGGAAGAATGAGAAAGGGTGTAATGATAAATCTTTCGGCCAAGCCACCCGAGCCCTGAAATAACACACAGAGTCTTATATTAATTACAGTGCTGCTGGTCAATGACTAGGAATTCTTATCTGCTATCTCTGTCTTAAGTATCAACCATGATTATTAATCTATATATCTTATGAAGACTTATCTGATAGAGGACAATGACTGAATGCCTCCTCTCTTCTTGATTCCCTATTGGCCAACAGTGCTTTATTCAACAACCAATAAGACAAACATATACACAGAAGGACCTCCCCCATCAAAGGGGAGAAGAGGAGAGATGAAGAACACATAAGGGAGCAGGAAGGTTGTGTAGGGGGAAGAATAGGGGAGAGCAAAATAAGAGATACCATAAGAAAGGGAGCCATTATAGGTTTAAAGAGAAATCAGGCACTAAGGAAATGTCCAGAGATCTACAAGGATGACACCAACTAACAATCTAAGCAACAAAGAAGCAACTTAAATGCCCTCTCCTGATAATGAGATTGATGACTAACTTATATGCCATCCTAGAGCCTTCATCCAGCAGCTGATGGAAGTGGAAGCAGAAACACACAGCTAAACACTGAACTGTACTGGAATCCAGTTGCAGAGAAGGAGGGGTGATGAGCAAAGAGGTCAAGACCAGGCTGGTGAAACCCACAGACACAGCTGACCTGAACAAGTCGGAGCTCTTGGTCCCCAGACTGACAGCTGGGAAACCAGCATGGAACTGATCCAGACCCCATGAACGTGGGTGTCAGTGAGGAGGCATTGGAATCTATGGGGCCTCTTGTAGTAGATCAGTACTTACCCCTAGTATAGGAATGGACTTTGGGAGCCCATTCCACATAGAGGGATATTCCCTCAGCCTAGACATAGGGGAGGGCCTAGGCCCTATTTCAAAGGATATGATAGACTCTGAAGACCGCCCCCAGGGAAGGCCTCACCCTCCCTGGGGAGCAGAAACGGTATGGGATAGGTAGGGTGTTAGTGGAGGGCAGGGGAGGAGAGGAGGGAGAGGGAACTGGGATTGACATGTAAAACAATCTTGTTTCTAATTTAAATTTAAAAATTGAGGGGAAAAAAAAGAACTATGACAAATACAAGTGCTCATGGCATGCAGAATCTTCAAAATCATGAATGAGTGGGGCTATTGTGAATGGGCTATTGTGGGGTATTCACCAGAAAAGATTGTTCAGGCATGGGTTTAAGCCAATAGAAAGTCTTTATTAGCCAGCCCGTGACTACACTGGGTACTTGGGATCCCAGTGTAGCCCCAAGCCTTTCTCAGGGTGAGTTTTTAAACCATGTTCTGGGTTGACATACTTCAGTTAGCAAGAGCAGTTAGCCAGAAGCAGAATTACAGAAGCCAAAAAAGCAAGGCTAGTACATTTAGAGACCTTCCCAGAACTATAGACTTTGATAGATTGGGTCCTTGTTTTCATTTTTTGGCGGGTGGTGCTGTCTGCACTCTGAGTTTTACAG